AGCTGACCATTCGTAACTGCTCTCAGCTCAACCAACTTTCCGAACAGATTACAGATCTAACTGGATTGGAGTGCTTGTCCATTTCCGAGTGCTCCAAACTTCGCAGCCTGCCCGATGATTTTGGACAGCTGCCTGCTCTCAAGTCACTGATGCTGGAGGGATTGACTTTCACAGAGCTGCCCAACTCCCTCAGCCAAGCTACATCTCTGGAGAAACTACACCTGGATTTATGGAAGCTTGAGTCTCAGCAGCTGCCAGCAGAATTCTGCAACCTCACATCTCTCAAGTCACTGAGGCTCAAGATTCCCAAACTGGAGGTGCTTCCAGAAAGACTTAGATGGCTCAGCAATCTAGAGACTCTTCGCGTGGATGGATGCATGCAGGAGCAGCTCCCCTCTTCATTTACGCAGCTGTTTTCTCTTACAAGTCTTGAGCTCCGCCGCTGTGCAATTCGTTGGCTTCCCTGGGGTTTAGACAAGATGATTAACCTGCAGCATCTTACCATTTATGAGTGCCATGCTGTCAGGGAGATACCGGAGTCTGTCACTGGGCTCACTAGCCTTGTAACCTTGGTCATCAGGCGTTGTGCAGGGCTCTCTTCGATGCCAAGAACGCTAAGTACCATTGGGAAGCTCCAGCAGTTGAAGATCGCTAATTGCGAACAGTTGCGTCGGTGGTGTCCTCTGTCGCTGCCACTCTCGCTTGAGGTCCTTATTTGGACGAACAGAAGAATTGCTTCCCTGCCTGTGATTTCCCTGTCTTCTCGTTTAAGGCACTTGGAGGTGGACTTGACAGAAAATACTGAACCGTTCTTGATCACCTCGAGTTCCTTTCCTCAGCTCCAGTTCTTGAGAATTTGGTGTGCAAAGAGGCTTCAGGCCCTTCTACAAGGCATCAGAGGGGCATTGCAGCTGCGAGAGCTGCACCTAATTTCTCTAGAGGATGTCAAGCTACCAGAAACGATTTTACAGCTGCAGCAGCTGACGTCATTAAGTGTTGTTCGTGCACCCAAGCTGGCCTCAATCCCCGACAGCATCGGAGCATTATCCAGGTTGCGCATGCTGGATCTGTCAGGGTGTGAGGCCCTGCGGCAGCTACCCTCGTCACTCACACAGCTTCGTTGCCTCTCCGTGCTTCGGGTTGGGTGGACTTCCATCCGCTTCTTTCCTCCCAGGTTTGCACAGTTGACGAGCCTGAGGACACTCAGCCTTTCTGGCTGTAACAAATTGGAAGATTTGCCAATGGATTTGTTCAGAATGAAGACACTACAGAGTTTGGATATCATAGGTTTGCAATTGATCTGACGAAATACCCCGTTCGCTGCGATGTCTGCTTAGGTCTTGAGGTTGTATACGATTTCCTACCGGTATGTTTCTGGAGGGTTTAACCTGATGACTACTTTTTCTTTTGACTCAAATATGAAAGTGGCATTCCAGTGGTGAATCACACATCTCATGCCACGTGTTGTGACAAGCTGATCACAAAAAGGTGCACTTGGGCTAGCAGCTGTTGCTAGTCTTGCCCTAGGGCTTCACATGCTTACGGTAAGTGTGGGGATGCTGTAAGTTCCGGAGATGTATGGATGTGTGAACAGAATTTCGCATGCAAGTAGTACAGCCAACTGGTTGAGCACAAAGGAGTTGATAGGATCGAAGCTACTCAATATTCAAATCATCCGTTCATTTTCTGTAGGCCGTTTTGTTTGATTCACTTACCATAGAACAACCATTATTAGGTGAAACAGAAGATGTACCAACCGTTTTCAAATTGTATCTTTTGTGATAGAAGGGCCATGTCAAATGGCACATGATCCCACATGGTGGTGCAGTTCGGTTGTTGCCAGCCTGTTGACTGCACCATGGTCAGCCAGGATGATGCACGTGCAAATGCACGCATGCATGGGTTATGTATATGGTCATCTATGGATGGCGATGTAGGGATGGTTTTGAATGGACTTTCATGATTGCATTTATACGGGCTAATGGTCATGCATGCATTGCCATGGGCTGATGGTGATCATGCATGCATTTCCTGTGCTAATGCTGGTCATGCATGTTGCCGTGGGCTGATAATAATGATGCATGCTTTGCCATGAGCTGATGATGATGTATGGATGGCCATGTGAGCGCTGTCATGTGGTAGTGATCATGCATGCATTGCGATGTGCTGATCCCAAGCATCGTCCATGGATGCATCCCAATGATCATGCATGAAAAATGCTGCATGGTCCATCAGGCCGGGCCGGCTGCTGCTGGATTGGGAGTGGGTGTTGAGGGGGGTAGGGCAGAATGGGACAGAAATAGAAGATATTAAACAAAGGATAATAAAAGTAGTTCATATTATTCTTTCGTATAGAACGGTAAGATGATATATTTGTGTTGTTTTTATTACGTTATTAGTGTGTGGGATTGCAAGGGTGCTTTCAACTCCTCCTGGCTGCTATGCTCTGCCGTGTTTTGTTTTGTCCCCACTCACCCACCAGTCCAAGGCTGCTGTGCAGGTGCAGCCCAGAGGTAAGCAATACATAACGAGGGCGTGTATGAGTTGGGATGCGTGATATAGGGATGCATTAGATGGGATGAATGAGATGAGATGTATGAGATGGGATGAATGAGATGGGATGTATGAGATGGGATGTATGAGATGGGATGAATGAGATGGGATGAATGAGATGGGATGTATGAGATGGGATGAATGAGATGGGATGTATGAGATGGGATGCAGAAGATGGGCATGCAGCAGTGTCCTCACCTGCCCGCCTGCCAAAGCAGCGTTGGGACCTGGCAGGATGTCCCTGCCTGGGTAGCAGTCAGTTGTTCAGATGCTTGCTTGCTAATTCCCCTCCCTTCCTCTCTCCTACTGCCTGTTTATCTCTGATGCTTTATCTCCCCTCTCACCCCTTCTCTTTTCAGGCAGTAGCCAGAGCAGCCGGCCTCCCCAACTGCTTTGGGAGCTAGGAATTTGGCCCCAGTGGGACATGGCAGCATCTCCCTGCCTCTCTTTTTTTCCCCATCTCTTCAGTCAGTAGCACAATCTTCACCTTCGCCCAACTCGGACCTAGCAGCATCGCCTTGCTTGTGTCTAAGCCACTCATTCCTCAGACCAGACCACCCTCGTCCTTCTTAACACCAATCTCTCCCCTTATTCTCTTCAGGCTGAAGCACAAACGTCAGGTTTACCCATCTAGGTCTACCAGCTTTACCCTGCCTGAATCTCACATGCTCATCCCTGCCCCACCTCTCCACTTCGCTCCCACTCCAGAGCCATAGCGGATGTATTGCTAGAGGAGAGAGCGAAGAGGAGGCAGGGGCTTTTGAGTTCTCTCAATAGAGCAGAGGAGGTAGTGAGGAGTGAGATCATCATCCCTCATCATGCCCCACCATGCCACATTATCCCTCATCATGCCTCATCATGCATGCCTCATCATGCATGCCTCATCATGTATGCCTCATCATGTATGCCTCATCATGCACGCCTCATCATGCACGCCTCATCATGCACGCCTCATCATGCACGCCTCATCTTGCTCTTCTTCATGATCCATAAAAAAGTTTCCGACTTCTTCGTTCAGTTCTGCTTGTGAAATACAGGCAACTCTTGCAAACAATATGAGAGAGTCACGCATGATCAGTCTGCCTTCTCCGTGACTCTCTTATATTCCTCTCTCTGCTCCTTGCTTCCTCGCTCTTATTCTCAGTGCATCCGCAGCAATCCCTCTGTGCCCTCACCCCTTTCCCCAATGGTGGTGATCCTCCAAAACCCCTCATTATCCCCGCCTCTTTCTCCCTTCCGGATCCGATACTTGCTTTCACTCACGCTACTGAGAGTGCCTACTGCATCCCACTCCACTCCCCCCTCCTTCTTTCGATCTCCACTGCAACAACCACCACCGCCACCACAAAGATCTCAGCTGCTACCTCACCACTCCAATCATCCACTTGAATCATCCTTCTCAGTAATTCACTCAAATCATCACTTCAATCACGTCAAAGCCTGCCAGTAGGTGCAAGCTCAGCCTCCCCAGACCGCCCTCTTTGCTCTTCTGGAGGTGGACGGATGCGCAGTGCTTGCAGTAGGCGGGCGGGCAGCATGTGCAGCAGGTGTCAGGGAGGCACTGGTAACAGGTACAGGGGAGACGCGCCAGACTTTTGAGGCGCCTCGAAAGTGCTTGCAGCAGGCGGGCGGGCAGCATGTGCAGCAGGTGCCAGGGAGGCACTGGTATCAGGTACAGGGGTGGCGCAGACAGACGCGGCAACACAGTTCGACCTCCCCGAGAGATATGTCCTCACAAGCGCAGCCCCCCAAGCACGTCTTCCCCCCCTCCCCCCTCCCCCCCCCCCCCCCCCACAGTTCAACCCTCCCAGGTTCAATTCCCTTGGGTGCCCCCTGTGTCCTCTTTTTTAGAGTTGGAGGGCAGAGACAAATTTCTTGCAGCAGGCTCTGAAGGGTATGGCAGCCCAGAAATAAATGGATAAATATAGGAAAGGATACAAATATAGGGAAAGGACGCCAGTGCATTCTTATAGTACATAACGATGTACTGCAATTCTGTGTTGTGTTGATCTTACTTGTGAATAACTTCAACTGTCAGCTTTTTATGGCATCTGGGCAAGCGTTGCATTGTGTCCTCAACCTTCTTCGCGAGCCTGATTAGCACAGTAACGAGTATGATCTCTCTCGAATATTCAAACTCGAACGGTCACGTGCACTTTCTTCACCACAACTCGAGCGCGACAGTCACTTTTTTGCTGCATCTAGAACTCTAGATTCAAGAGGCTTGTCTGGCCGTTTACGTAACCTTATGTCTTTATGTATCAGCGCGGATACCTAATATTTGCGATAAGAAGCCGTTCGATAAGAAGCCGTAGGCTGCAAGTATTGCAACCAGCTGCGTACGACGTATACCACAGTTATTGCACGCGTATACTACAGTACGCTCGCTTCAAGAAAATCAGCACTATTGAGGTATTATACTACAGAGCTGGGTGGTTCTAGCAGCTATGGCGCATCTTCTTAGCGAGTTGGATCGCTTCGAAGAGGAGATGCGCGCGCTTGGTGCGGAATCCGCTTCCGCCAAGGCCGCTCCGCCGCCCGCGCACCTCATTGCGCAAGTGCCCCTTCCGCCCGCTCCGCCGCTCCCCGCTAAAGGCGCACCTCCCGTTTCCCCCGCTCCGCCTCCCCCTCGCCCACCTCCGCCGATCCCCCCAGGCGCTTCTCCCGCACGGCCCTCCATTTCCCCTTTGCCCGCCCCACCAGTTCCGCCTCCTTCCGCCTACTCCCCCGCGCCTCGTCCGCTTCCGCCACACGCCCTTCCTCCTCCACCTTCCGCGTTCCCCCCAACTCCGCCATATCGCCCCGGCGGTTCTTGGTCACAGTCTCCCGCCGCTACTCCCCCCGCTGCGCATGTTCCGCCGTCCCCCCCTCTCCCCCCGCCAGCGTCAGGCTCAACCCCCCCGTTTCCGCGGTACCAAGCACCTCCGCGACCGTCGTTTCCGCCCATTCCCCCACCTGCGCACGCAGTTCCGCCTTTCAGCAGCGGCGGGGGGGGACCCGCGCAATTCCCCCCTCTTCCGCCTTCCGCGCCCGCCCCCGCGGCTCCACCTACGCGGAAGGTATACGCCGCTGCGCCTGTGAAAGTAACCAAGAAAGAAGATGCGGGGAAGGAAGGGGCAGCGGGGGAGGCGGAGAAGGGATCGGGGGGAAACGAGGGGGAGCAGCAGGCGGAAAAAACAGCAGCAGCTGCAGGCAAAGCCATTCCGGCAATCCCTCCGCCCCCTCCGCCTGCCCCTGCTCCCACCGCCTCCGCTTCCCCAGCAGCACCAACACCCTCACCACCCCCACCACTACGGTCAGAAGCAGCAGCAGGGCCTTCAGGGGGATACGGGGGCGGCTCCGCTCATGCGGGCGGGGCTGCAGGCATGGCGCAATACGGAGGGGGAGCGGGGTTTCCCCCAGGGGCAGGGTTCGGCGGAATGGGCGGATACGGGGGCATGGGCGGGGGGATGGGGGGAATGGGTGGGGGAGGGTATGGGGCAGCGGCAGGGGGGTATGGAGCGGGGGGAGCAGGGTTTGGAGCAGGTGGAGGGGGGTATGGAGCGGTTGGGGGACAGTATGGGATGGGGAGTAGCAATGGCCAAGGGACAACGCTCTCCGAGTTCCTGGTGAGCCTTATTAGCGTGAAATGAGCCAAGTTATGAGTCAACTCAAAACCTGACAGTCATTAAAGCCGCCCTCTCCCCTCCCGTTCCCTCGTCCCCACCCTGCCATGTCCCTCCCAAGCAACCATCTCCCTTCTTTGAGATTTCATCTCTGCTCGGTTTTGAGGGTCTCCCCTCCGTTCTCAAAAACACTTTCTTAAAGTGTTCCCTCCCCTCCCCGTTCTTCCATCTCTCCACCTTCCAAATTTCCCAACCGTCCCTTGCCTGTCTCTCCCTGCTCCTCCCCTTCCTCTCTCACCCCGCCCCTGCCCGCCCTCCCATTCTTCCCCGTGTCAGGCCAACCCTAATGCAGCAAGAGCGTCAGGAAAGCCCATCAACTCGCAGGTCAGTTGACTTGACATCGAGCCTGGAACTGTTTTGCTGGAGTCACCTTGTTTCCATGCTACATACGTGCACACTGCCAAAACTTTGCCTGTAAAGATGCAACGATGATCCACCCGCCATCTCACACTCCCCCTCTCTTCCCCTCCCCCCTTCCCCCATGCCTCCCTCCCTCCCTGCCTTCCCCTGGCAGGCGGAGCAGCCGTTTCAAAGGGTTGCAGCGATTATCAACCCATGAGCTCTTTAAGTCTCTTCTCGTTCTCCCCACCGCCCACCTCACCTCCTCACCCTTCTCCCACACTTGCCCCTTGCACCTCCCTTCCTTTCCCTGGCAGGCGGAGCAGCTACTCCAAAGAAATGCAGCGATGATAATCCCGGCAGCTCACACTCCCCTCTTGTTTCCCCTCCCTACCCTACGTCCCCCTCTTCCCATTTCCCCTCCCTCCGCTCCTCCTCCCTGGCAGGCGGAGCAGCTGTTTCAAAGGGATGCAGCCATGATCAACCCGGCAGCTTTAGAAGGAGTTAAAGCTGCCCTGGCCAGTAACGTGCCTCTGGGCATGGCCGGGCAGGCTGCCGGGCAGCAAAAGAAAAAACGGCCGGTGCCGAGAACAGCAGCCGGGCAGAAATGGGAAGATCCGACCCTGACTGAATGGCCTGAGAGTGAGTTGGTCCAATACCCCCATATACCCCCATAATTCCATACCGTATACCCCTATAACCCCACATCCGCATTACCCCATACCTCATGTCCCGAGGCCCCCATACCCAATACCCCCCATGCCCCAATGCCACCATAACCCTGCGCCCCCATACCCCCATGCCCACATCTCCACATGCGCCTCAGGAATACTCACTTTTTGAGGCACCTCAGAATCACACAAGCTCGTGTTTCAAACCTTGTGCTGTTCATTTCTTATTCCCCTGCACAATCTCCTTTTGAAACATTCCCGTGCCTTGTTGCGCCTCCCATTCTCTCTCATTCCCATACCCCCCCACTCCCCCTCCCTCCCCCCATACGAGTTTTGATTCGAGCCGTCACAAAACCCGTACCTTGTTGCGCTGCGCCTCCCATTCTATCTCTTTTCCATAAACCCCCACCCCCCCACCCCCCCCCCCATCCCCCCCCCATCCCCCCCGTCCCCCCCCCCCCTCGCTCCCTCATACCCCATGCTCCCATGCCCATGCAGACGACCATGGGCTGTTCTGCGGTGACCTGGGAAACGAGGTGAACGGCGATGTGTCGCCTAGTGGTTTTCTCATATGCCCCCGCGCCCCCACGCCTTCATACCCCTTTTGCACATGTATTGCAGACGACCATCGGCTGTTCTGTGGAGATCTGGGAAACGAGGTGAACGATGACGTTTTGTCCAAGGCGTTTCAGAAGTACGCGTCGTTCAACAAGGCCAAGGTGAGGCAGTTAGTACAGGAAGGTGTGCAGTGGTGGGAGTGCGGTGGAATGCTGTGGCAGGAAGTGCAGTGGTGCTAGCACGGCGTGCTGGCTAAGGCGTTTCAGAAGTATGCGTCGTTCAACAAGGCCAAGGTGAGGCTGCTTGTGAGGGCTCGGTGGGGGTTGCAGTGGTATGTAGGGGTTACGGTGGTGCTAGCATGGTGCTTGAGCCAAGGCGTTTCAGAAGTACGCATCGTTCAACAAGGCCAAGGTGAGGCAGCAAGGCAAAGGTGCAGTTGCAGGTGCAGTTGGTTCCCTTGGCAGGGGGTGCTGGGGTGCTGGCTAGGTGTGTTGCCCAAGTCGTTTCAGAAATACGCTTCCTTTAACAAGGCCAAGGTGAGGCTATTGTGGACAGTCGCCGTGTTGGGTGTGATGGGTGCTTGCATGGTGTGACGGGGTGCATGATGTGCTGGCCAAGGCGTTTCAGAAGTATGCATCCTTCAACAAGGCCAAGGTGAGGCAGCTGGTTGGTAGGGGGGGATGCTGGTTGAGTAGCCAAGGACCCGGAAAGGCCAAGGTGAGGCAGCTGGTTGGTAGGGGGGGAAGCTGGTTGAGTAGCCAAGGACCTGGAAAGGCCAAGGTGAGGCAGCTGGTTGGTAGGGGGGGATGCTGGTTGAGTAGCCAAGGACCCGGAAAGGCCAAGGTGAGGCAGCTGGTTGGTAGGGGGGGATGCTGGTTGAGTAGCCTAGGACCCGGAAAGGCCAAGGTGAGGCAGCTGGTTGGTAGGGGGGGATGCTGGTTGAGTAGCCAAGGACCCGGAAAGGCCAAGGTGAGGCAGCTGGTTGGTAGGGGGGGATGCTGGTTGAGTAGCCAAGGACCCGGAAAGGCCAAGGTGAGGCAGCTGGTTGGTAGGGGGGGATGCTGGTTGAGTAGCCAAGGACCCGGAAAGGCCAAGGTGAGGCAGCTGGTTGGTAGGGGGGGATGCTGGTTGAGTAGCCAAGGACCCGGAAAGGCCAAGGTGAGGCAGCTGGTTGGTAGGGGGGGATGCTGGTTGAGTAGCCAAGGACCCGGAAAGGCCAAGGTGAGGCAGCTGGTTGGTAGGGGGGGATGCTGGTTGAGTAGCCAAGGACCCGGAAAGGCCAAGGTGAGGCAGCTGGTTGGTAGGGGGGGATGCATCGTGCTACTGAGTAGCCAAGGATCCTGCAAGGCCAAGGTGAAGCAGCATAGCGGAAGTGCAGCGCCAGGTGGGGGTGCGGTGGTGCTGGCCTTTGTGCTGGCCAAGGCGTTTCAGAAATATGCGTCTTTCAACAAGGCCAAGGTGAGGCAGCTAGAAGAGGTAGGGTAGGGTTGCAGTAGCAGGAGTGCAATGGCAGGGACGGGGTGGTTGGGGTGCGATGGTAAAAGTACAGTGGTGGGGGTGGCAGGGATGGGGTGGCATGGATGGGGTGGTTGGGGTGCGATGGTAAAATTACAGTGATGGGGGTGGCAGGGATGGGGTGGCATGGATGGGGTGGTAGGGGTGCGGTGGTAAAAGTGCAGTGGTGGTAGCATGATGTGTTGGCCAAGGCGTTTCAGGAATACGCGTCTTTCAACAAGGCCAAGATGGGGCAGGAATGCTAAGGTGAGGCAAAAGTGCGGTGGCACGGGTGGGGTGGTAGGAGTGCCGTGGTGGGGGTGGGTTGGTAGGAGATAGGGACCGGTTGCAGTAAGAGGTGGAGCAACTCAAAGGAGAGGTGGAGTGCCTTAAAGGAAAGGTGGCGAGGAAGATGGAAAACAGGAGGGCAACTGAGGCAGAGCTGCAGGCTTCCAGGCGGTAGCTAGGTGTGATGGATGTTGTCATGCGTGGATAAAGATGTGCATGGATGGTATGGTGCGTGGATGGTAAGGGTACATGGAAGGAAATGTGCACCTTTACCATCCTTGTACCTTACCATCCATGCGCATTTCCATCCACGCAAGTCAGCATCCATCACACCCAGCTACCGCCTGCAAGCCTACAGCTCTGCCTCGGTTGCCCTCCTCTTCTCCACATCCCTCTCCACCTCTCCTTTGACTCGCTCCACCTCCCCTTTGACTCGCTCCACCTCCCCTTTGACTCGCTCCACCTCCCCTTTGACTCGCTCCACCTCCCCTTTGACTCGCTCCACCTCCCCTTTGACTCGCTCCACCTCCCCTTTGACTCGCTCCACCTCCCCTTTGACTCGCTCCACCTCCCCTTTGACTCGCTCCACCTCCCCTTTGAATCGCTCCACCTCCCCTTTGACTCGCTCCACCTCCCCTTTGACTCGCTCCACCTCCCCTTTGACTCGCTCCACCTCCCCTTTGACTCGCTCCACCTCCCCTTTGACTCGCTCCACCTCCCCTTTGACTCGCTCCACCTCCCCTTTGACTCGCTCCACCTCCCCTTTGACTCGCTCCACCTCCCCTTTGACTCGCTCCACCTCCCCTTTGACTCGCTCCACCTCCCCTTTGACTCGCTCCACCTCCCCTTTGACTCGCTCCACCTCCCCTTTGACTCGCTCCACCTCCCCTTTGACTCGCTCCACCTCCCCTTTGACTCGCTCCACCTCCCCTTTGACTCGCTCCACCTCCCCTTTGAATCGCTCCACCTCCCCTTTGACTCGCTCCACCTCCCCTTTGACTCGCTCCACCTCCCCTTTGACTCGCTCCACCTCCCCTTTGACTCGCTCCACCTCCCCTTTGACTCGCTCCACCTCCCCTTTGACTCGCTCCACCTCCCCTTTGACTCGCTCCACCTCCCCTTTGACTCGCTCCACCTCCCCTTTGACTCGCTCCACCTCCCCTTTGACTCGCTCCACCTCCCCTTTGACTCGCTCCACCTCCCCTTTGACTCGCTCCACCTCCCCTTTGACTCGCTCCACCTCCCCTTTGACTCGCTCCACCTCCCCTTTGACTCGCTCCACCTCCCCTTTGACTCGCTCCACCTCCCCTTTGACTCGCTCCACCTCCCCTTTGACTCGCTCCACCTCCCCTTTGACTCGCTCCACCTCCCCTTTGACTCGCTCCACCTCCCCTTTGACTCGCTCCACCTCCCCTTTGACTCGCTCCACCTCCCCTTTGACTCGCTCCACCTCCCCTTTGACTCGCTCCACCTCCCCTTTGACTCGCTCCACCTCCCCTTTGACTCGCTCCACCTCCCCTTTGACTCGCTCCACCTCCCCTTTGACTCGCTCCACCTCCCCTTTGACTCGCTCCACCTCCCCTTTGACTCGCTCCACCTCCCCTTTGACTCGCTCCACCTCCCCTTTGACTCGCTCCACCTCCCCTTTGACTCGCTCCACCTCCCCTTTGACTCGCTCCACCTCCCCTTTGACTCGCTCCACCTCCCCTTTGACTCGCTCCACCTCCCCTTTGACTCGCTCCACCTCCCCTTTGACTCGCTCCACCTCCCCTTTGACTCGCTCCACCTCCCCTTTGACTCGCTCCACCTCCCCTTTGACTCGCTCCACCTCCCCTTTGACTCGCTCCACCTCCCCTTTGACTCGCTCCACCTCCCCTTTGACTCGCTCCACCTCCCCTTTGACTCGCTCCACCTCCCCTTTGACTCGCTCCACCTCCCCTTTGACTCGCTCCACCTCCCCTTTGACTCGCTCCACCTCCCCTTTGACTCGCTCCACCTCCCCTTTGACTCGCTCCACCTCCCCTTTGACTCGCTCCACCTCCCCTTTGACTCGCTCCACCTCCCCTTTGACTCGCTCCACCTCCTAGGACAATACCACGGGCCCCATGGCACTTGCTCACCCTCCCCACCCCCTCCTTTAAGATTGTCAGCGACAAGACCACACGCAAGACCAAGGGGTACGGGTTTGTGAGCTCTCGTGTCGACTCAGAGCCCATCTTGTTTCACCTGTACTCTTTCATCCTTTGCTTCCCTGTGTTTTTGTGCGCAACGCACGCCCCACTGCAGGTGGTGAGGGACAAGACGACGGGCAAGACCAAGGGGCATGGATCTGTGGACTTAAAGCACAACAACTCTCCCCTTCCCCCACCTCTCCTTGGCAATCGCTCTTATACACCCCCCAGGTGGTGAGGGACAAGACGACGGGCAAGACCAAGGGGCATGGATTTGTGGACTTAAAGCACAACAACTCTCCCCTTCCCCCACCTCTCCTTGGCAATCGCTCTTATACACCCCCCAGGTGGTGAGGAACAAGACGACGGGCAAGACCAAGGGGCATGGATTTGTGGACTTAAAGCACAACAACTCTCCCCTTCCCCCACCTCTCCTTGGCAATCGCTCTTATACACCCCCCAGGTGGTGAGGGACAAGACGACGGGCAAGACCAAGGGGTACGGGTTCGTGAGCTTTGGTGAAGTGATGGACTGTGCTGTTGCTCTCAAGGAGATGAACGGTGAGTCAAGATAGTCAAAGGCCGGTCAATGGTGAGTCAAGATAGTCAAAGGCTGGTCAATGGTGAGTCAATCCAGTCAATTAGCTGGTCAATAGTGAGTCAATGCAGTCATTCAGTGGCTCGCACGAGGTTTTGGAAGTGATGGACGTTGTTGCTGCTCTCAAGGAGATGAACGGTGAGTCAAAGCAGTCAATGAAGTCAACAGGGGGTGAGTTGAGTGAATGGCGGGTCAGTTACGAGTTGAGCCACGAGTCTGGGTGCTATCTAGTACTCTGCTCTGTGCAACCAGGATTCGATTTGTTCTCTCTCCTTTCATGCGTTTACAGTACAGTTCTGTTGGAGTTGTGTGTTAATATTCTATAATCAACTCACTGTATTGCATACACGACTGAATCCTGAAACAGGGAAGTATGTGTGCAACTAGAATGCCTTATATTCTCTCTTCTTTCAGGTGCATGCTGGCGTGAGCAGGGAAGTACGTGGGCAATCGGCCAATCAAATTGCGAAAGAGCTCGTGGCAGGGCAGGAGAGGGTCGACACGGATGATATATGTCTCAAACGTTTGCATTCAAAACATCTGCACATGCATGTTGGCGTGAGCAGGGAAGTACGTGGGCAATCGGCCAATCAAATTGCGAAAGAGCTCGTGGCAGGGCAGGAGAGGGTCGACACGGATGATATATGTCTCAAACGTTTGCATTCAAAACATCTGCACGTGCATGTTGGCGTGAGCAGGGAAGTACGTGGGCAATCGGCCAATCAAATTGCGCAAGAGCTCGTGGCAGGAGAGGATCGATACGGAGGCGCTTAAATCTCGCAACCGGGGCAGCCGGGTAAGCAGCAGCACCTCAGCATTAAATTCCCTTCCAAGTTGTTGGTACATGTGCAATTTTCCGGCGTCTCGCGGCTCACCCTCCATTTGGAGCAGCCGTGTAAGCAGCCTTGCAGCATTGAAATTTACAATTGCTGCCATATGTACGGTATTTCAGTGTCTCATAGCTCGCAGTCTTCTCCAGTATTTCTGCAGTCCAGTGTTCCAAGATTCTAAGCACGCGGTGACAAATTTTATTTTTCTCTCTTGATTGTCTTCCTGTTCCCTTGGCTTGGTCACATGGATGTGTGCGTTGACAGCCTAAGGAGAAGCGTCAAAAGAAGAATTTTCTGCACCGGTGAGGTGATGGCTGAAGCCTAATGACACTGACAGCTTCGATCTGCATCTTGGATGGAAATTGCTGCGATAGCAATCAGGAAGAACAACCTGTAACCTGGAATTGTCACGTTTTCCTAAATATGCCAGCTGCATGAGCACTCACTTGGACAAGATTGTGCGCGTAAATAATATAACTCCACTGGTTAGACAGCCAGCCAGATGCAGTGGAGCAATGTTAAAAGAGAATGTGAGTCCACAAGTTGCATGGAAATAATTAATCGTTTTTATGAGTACACGTGTATAAGGAATGTTGACCTATATACCTCGATGAGTGTAAAATCGAGGCCCACAACAAGCTGTATTGCGTGTGCATGGCACAAGGCTTGAACGCTCGGCTATGATCAGCCACTCAGAGCCATACCGAGGCATATTGGAAGCCTCGGAGTACGCAAACTTTCATGCATTACCGAACCGAGCGGTATGGTGCCGTGCCGAGCCAGGCAGCCATCCAGCTGGTACATTGAGCCTGCCCCCTAGACAAGTCCCAAGGTACTTACGGATTCAGTCTGACAGAATCTGCTAAGCAGCTAACTAACAGAGTCTGTCAGCCTCCTAAGTTCTACCTCGTTAGGCTCTCTCTGTGCAGCTGAGCTTTCCAAGAGTCATAGCTGGTCGTGCTGCATACTAAGACAGCTGATCGGTCGCCTGCTGTGCCAGTCCCTGCATTTTCTAATACAGCTCTCTTGACGCTCTCCTGACGTGTCTTGCTAAAGCTCAGTAGATTGTTAACGGATTGCCGCAGGTCAGCTCATCTCGCTAACTCGCGCGTGATTCCTCGAGCAATTCTTTCGGCTGTATCTCGGAGCCTCCCTCTTCCTGGCACGTCACACTTGATCTTTATTACTTTCATTTCTTCACGATCGTCGAGTTCCAGGCGCTTTCGGCTGGCGACCGACCGTCAGGATCCTTGCCTTGGTCCGAGTTTGTCTAGATTCGATTCGCAATCCAGCAAGACGGTCAATTTACGCTGACGACGGATCTGAGCCGTCGATCAGTACAGTTCAAAGCCTGGAACTTCTCAGAACTCTTCCCTCCTCCCGTTTCCAAATTAACATCCGAACTAGCGAATCCGCCGCGATTCCGTCTTCCTACCGGATTCCGTCCATCGTGTATCCTCCTCCATCCTGACTCCTGATCCGGACCGCGCTTCCCTCGTCCCTCGCTCCTGCACCATGGCGTACACGCGTTCCGAGGTCGTGGAGGAGGAGGAAGCTTCCACGATAGAGCTACTGGGCGACTCGGTCATCCCAGTAGTTAATAAACTGCAGGATATCTTTTCCCAGCTCGGATCCTCCAGCGCGATCGACTTACCGCAAGTAGCCGTTGTGGGGAGTCAGAGCAGCGGGAAATCCAGCGTGCTCGAGTCGCTCGTCGGGAAGGATTTCCTGCCACGTGGATCCGACGTGGTGACGCGCCGGCCGCTGGTGCTGCAGCTGGTGCAGGTGCCGAAGCGCGCGGACGGCAAGGCGGAGGAATGGGGGGAGTTTCTGCACCTGCCGGGGAAGAGATTCACGGATTTCTCCGCGATCCGAGACGAGATTCAGGTATTTGTTGCCTCCGCGATCCGGGCCGGGACGAGTCCAACTTGGTGGATCAAAGCCACTATGTAATCCGTATTTCTGGACTCCTGTTGGAAATTATGAGCCTTTGGGTCGAGTCTGAAATGTGGGATTCACTGGAGCCCCTGAACCCTGCTTGTTTGTGCTGAATGATGCAAATTCGTTATAAGGTCTATCCCCGTTGCTGCACTGCAGCTCCTCTTTAGTCGTCTCAAAGTTATTGCCTTGCCAAGTGGGCCTCTGGATTCACTGGGATTTCGGAATCTCATGTGTTAGTACCCGCGCTGAGACGCAAAGCCGTTATGAAGTTCATCTGCTTTGCAGTTTGCTGCTTTTTTTTTGCTTTTCCTTGCCAATTGCCCGTTCTCCTCACATGCAGCTGGAGAGGGATCGGGAGGTGGGCTCTCTACTCACTCACCATCACTCCTGCTCTTACTCTAATAATCTCCTACTATAGTTCTCTCCCAATCTGCGTCTTTCCTTCACTCCTTCCTGCCTGCCCTCCTTCCCTCGTGCCTCAATTTAACCCCTCGTGCAGCTGGAAACAGAGAGGGGGGTGGGGATGAACAAGAACATTATAGAGAGGCAGATTTGTCTCAAGATCTTCTTGCCGCACGTGCTCACAATGACTTCTTTTCCTTCCTCTCTCTCGCTCCCTCCCTCTTAATTTTCCCGTCCCTGCTCCAGCTGGAGACGGAGAGGGAGGTGGGGATAAACAAGGGCATAACGGAGAAGCAGATTCGGCTCAAGATCTTATCGCTGCACGTGCTCACAATCTCGTCTGCTCTTCCTCTCCCCTCCAATCATGTCACTTACAGCTGGAGACGGAGAGGGAGGTGGGGATAAACAAGGGCATAACGGAGAAGCAGATTCGCCTCAAGATCTTCTCGCCGCACGTGCTCACAATAACCCTTGTGGACCTGCCCGGCATCACCAAGGTGCCCGTGGGCGACCAGCCCTCCGACATCGAGGCGCGCGTGCGATCCATGATCCTCGCCTACATAAAGCACGAGACCTGCATCATCCTCGCTGTTACCCCTGCCAATGCGGACCTGGCGAATTCGGACGCCTTGCAAGTGGCACGCATGGCTGATCCGGACGGTGAGTCCAACTCCTGGTGCTCGTGCTCTTTTCACCAGTTGGTTGGGTTGTGGGACATGGGGGTTGGTCCATGAACCTGGGGAGGTGCCCGTCGGCGACCAGCCCTCCGACATCGAGGCCCGCGTGCGCTCCATGATCCTGGCTTATATCAAGCACGAGACGTGCATTATTCTGGCGGTTACACCTGCCAACGCGGACCTGGCGAATTCCGACGCTCTGCAAGTGGCACGCATAGCTGACCCTGACGGTGAGTATCACTTCTGGTGTTCGTGCTGGTCTCACCGGTCGGCTGGGTTGTGGGACATGGGTTTTGGTCCATGATCCTGGGGAAAGGAGCATGGGGTGGGTTGGGACATAAATAGAGGCGATCCATGATTCTGGCATACATCAAGCACGAGAGGTGTATTATTCTGGCCGTCACTCCTGCGAATGCGGACCTGGCGAATTCGGATGCCCTGCAAGTGGCAAGAATGGCAGATCCTGACGGTGAGTCTGACTGCGGGTTTTCTGACCAGCACTGTGGGATGTAAAGATGCTAATTGGGCGGTTCAAATGGGCCGTGGGACAGGAAAGGACAGGGCGTGCGATCCATGATCCTGGCCTACATCAAGCACGAGACCTGCATTATTCTGGCGGTCACGCCCGCCAATGTGGACTTGGCTAACTTGAATGCCCTGCAAGTGGCGCGCATGGCTGATCCCGATGGTGAGAGACTTACTGTGCTGGCCCCTGCATTCTTGGGTGGAGAAATAAGTAAACCAGACGCACTGCAAGCTGCGTGCATGGCTGACCCGGACGGTGAGGTTCAGAAAAGGGTGGTGGATGGTGGAGTGGTGCAATGGCAGATTCTGTTGATGCGCAACTGTCAGTGTTGGCTTGCTTTGCATGGTCCGACTGGTTGGTTCGGTTTTGGGAGATGGGGCTTGGTGACTGGTATACGGGACATAGAGGCACACCAGACGTAGAGGCGACTGGTTTGAATGCAGAGATAGGGCATGAGGGTTTAGGTGTTTCTTGTGTCGTGAGAGGCAGCACATTTAACATATTGTGTTTGTCACGTACTTCAGCCATTCCCTTTTCCCAGTCTCATCATGTGTTCCTATCCTTGTGTCCTTTTGTGTGTCCCCCCCCGCTTCTCGTTGCTATCCTTTCAGGGCATCGAACAATTGGAGTTATCACCAAGGTATGTGTTCTCTTACACTTTGCTGCTCCTGTACTCATCTCTCAAGTATTGCTTCCTTTCATCTGTGATGGAGTGAGTGGGTTGGAGTCGTCACTTTTAATGCTGTTTTCTAATTCAATGTATTCAGCAGTGAATATAGTGGATTACTGTATGGCCTTTATTCAGAGGAGAAGCTTGAGTTTGTTGGCTATTATCATTTGAACGTCTGTGACTGTCACTCGACTTGACATGCCTACCACTTCACATTTCGTCCTCGCCCCGTTATGCTTCATGACTGCTGCTCTTGCTCTCTCATTGCATTCATCTCTTATCCCAATCTTACAGCTTGGCATCATGGACCGGGGCACCAAGGCTAGGGAATGCAGCAGCTCATGCAGCACTCCTGCCTCTCTGGCTGACTTCTCTTGGCCCTCCCCTTTACTATTTGCCCCTCTCTCCTGCTCGCGTGCACCCCTGCAGCTTGATATCATGGACCGTGGCACAGATGCATGCAACCTGCTGCTAGGGAATGTGATTCCGCTGCGCCTGGGCTATGTGGGCGTGATCAACCGCAGCCAGGAGGTGCGCTTGTGTGAATGTGAATGCGTTAATGTCACTTGGTTGGATGGCTGTGAAGCACCTTGTGTAGAGGGATGCATGCAACCTGCTTATTGAGAATGCCATTGCGTTCCCCCGTGCCTGGGCCGTGTGTGCGTCATCAACTGCAGCCAGGAGGCGCAAGGGCAGAAAGTGTGCGTCATCAACTGCAACCGCAGCCATCACACACTTTCTGCCCGCCCTTGTCCCATGCATGCCTCTTCTCCCCCCCTTCCCCTGTCAGGATATCAACGCGAAGAAGAGTGTGAAGGACGCACTCACATACGAAGAGGCTTTCTTCCGAAGCAGACCGGTGAGTCTGAGAGGAGTGTTTCTAAGGCTGAGCTAAGCAGAATGTTTTTCAGATATGCACTTGTGACTCATGGACCGCCTCATGGACCGCCTCTTGGACCGACTCATGGACCGACTCATGGTTGAAATCAGTTGGACCGCCTCATGGACCGCCTCAAAAACTCCCTGCAACGCCTCATGGACCGCCTCATGGACCGCCTCATGGACCGACTCATGGACTGCCAGCAAGTTTGAAGTTTGAATACTCCATTTGTTGTGAGGGAAACCCACTCGTTTGTGACTTTTGACTCGCCTCAAAAGTTTGAAGTTTGTATTCTCCATTTGTTGTAAGGGTTAGGGAAACTCACTCATTTGTGACTTGCTGGTTTTCTGCTTGCCTACCCATCTGTATGCCTCTTTCCGTGTCTGCACGCACGTGGCACGACAGGTGTACCACGGCTTGGCGGATCGGTGTGGAATTCCGCACCTCGCCAAGAAACTCAACTCGGTGAGTCAAGATTCGAGGCAGGTGATGGCTGTTGGCAGGAATCGGGACATCAGTACGTTGCAGGTAGAAGTGTTGCAAGCAAGAGATGTGGGTGCCAAGGAAGGATTACTAGGGTGTACCATCAACCATAGGATGGTTGGTGGATCGATGTGCGATTTCGCAGCTCGCCAAGAAGCTCAATTCGGTGAGTGGGAATGAGAGGTTGGCTGGCAAATCCTAGTGAACGTTCGTCTTCTCCTCCCTGACCTCAAAGCACGGATCAACGCTCATGCCTCATCTGCTGCTTTGTCTCCCCTTTCATCCATCCCTCTCGCTGCGTGCTTCAGATTCTCGTGCAGCACATCCGTCTGCTGCTGCCGGACCTTAAGGCGCAAAACAACGCTCAAATGTTCACTCTTTCAAATGTCCTTTCACGTCTTTGTCTCCCCCTCCATCCATCCCTCTCACTGTGTGCTTTCAGATTCTCGTGCAGCACATCCGCCTGCTGCTGCCGGACCTTAAGGCGCAAATCAACGCTCAAATGTTCACTCTTTCAAATGTCCTTTCACGTCTTTGTCTCCCCCTCCATCCATCCCTCTCACTGTGTGCTTTCAGATTCTCGTGCAGCACATCCGCCTGCTGCTGCCGGACCTTAAGGCGCGAATCAACGCTCAGATGGTGGCAGTGCACAAGGAGCTTGTGGGGTATGGGGAGGCGGCTGAGCGGGTGAGTGACCAATGGAAAGGGGGGCTAAAAAGGGCACTGGGGGGAAGGCGAACGTCAACATGCAGATGGTGGCGGTGCACAAGGAGCTTGTGGGGTATGGGGAGGCGGTTGAGCGGGTGAGTTTTTAATGCTCGTCAGCTGCGATTTCTGGGAAATGCATGGCAACGCGGCCGAGAGAGAACGTGTTAGCTGTGTTTGGCAGCAGCACCCACCAGCTGCAACAGCTCATTGCCCCACCTTTTTCTGTTACCTGCTTTTGCATCCACCGTACCTGCCGTTAGGGAAAGGCTGGTAGGGAGACGGAAAAGGGTGGGGCAATGGGCTGTTGCAGCTGGTGGGTGCTGCTGCCAACACTGCTAACGTGTTGTCTCTCGGCGCGTTGCATTTCCCAGAAATCTTAGCTGATCTGGTGTCATGAGTAGGGGGCGTCAATGCTTGCATAGGTGGGCCAGTGCACAAGGAGCTCGTGGGGTATGGGGAGGCTGCAGAGCGGGTGAGTGTTGTTTGGTTTGGGGAAGAACACAGAGAGGGTGAATGTTATTTTGTAGGAGGGATGCACATAAACGCTGATCCGGAGGTTGCCAGTGCACAAGAAACTCGTAGGGTTTGGGGAGGCGGCTGATGGATGGGAGCAGGGATCGTGAGCTGGGGAGGAGGTCTTGAGATGGGAGGTGAGATGATGCGTGAAAGGAGGGGGCAGGGACGGTGAGGTGGACAGGAGGTGCTGACATGGGAGATGAAGGAGATACGTCAAGGAGAGGATGTTTCCGTCAAGGAGGCATCATCACCACTCTTTGTCAACGTCCCATGCGCGGTGTTTTGTTGATCCCCTTCCCCTGACTTGATGCCCCTCTAAGGTGTTTTTGTGGACCACGTTTGGATGATTCCCCTCCCTGTTGCCTGTTTGTGCTCCCTTCCCCTCAGGCCACCATGGGAGTTCTTTTGCTGAACATTCTCACCAAGTACTCTCTATGTGAGTTGCTCTTTCAACCCCCCCTGCTACAGTAGAATTTATAGGTTGCAATTAGAGTTTCAGGGCTTGCAGTGTGTGCACTGTAATTCTGCGTGAGTGTTAATGAACCTACAGGAAATGTTTTCTGGCTTAACATCCCAACTCAAGTGCTCTCAACATGTACTGGGTGTGCGATTAATTTGATTGACTTCGGATGGTGTGCTGTAAGCGTGGTTTCGTTTCCCAGTGCACATTCTATTTACCTGCATTGTTATCTACCTTGAGCAGCCTTTGTAACGATAGTGGACGGCAAGAACCAGGGCATGTGCACAGCAGAGCTTGCAGAAGGTCTAATGAGGATCTTAACGCATATCCTGCTTTGTTGCTTTACCCTGACCTGAGCAGCCTTTGTGACGATAGTGGATGGCAAGAACCAGGGCATGTCCACAGCAGAGCTGGCGGGAGGAGCTCGAATCCACTACATCTTCCAAAGCATCTTTGTCAAGTGCATCGATGTGAGTCTGGTTTTTTAATGTGAGGAAAGTTCAGTGCATTGAGTTGAGTCCCATTTAGTTTCCTAGACATCTATGTCAAGTGCATCGACGTGACTCTGGTTTAATGATGCGAGGTAAGTTCGGCGCATTGAGTTGAGTCCCGTTTGATGTCCTAGACATCTTTGTCAAGGGCATCAATGTGAGTCACATGATCACATCTGGTCTTCCATATTCCTTTTGTGCGTGCATGCGAGTTCAGGGCATGGATGTGAAGTTCCCTCCCTTCACTCCGTCCCTCACTACCTTCCCTCCGGAGCTGGACCGCTGTGAGGACCTTTCAGACGAGGGCATTCACACAGCCATCCAGAACACCACACGTGCTGCTTATCACCTTCTTCCTTCCTTTACCCCTCCGTTCCCTCCTCCCCTCACTTGCTCCTCTCGCGTCGTGCCTCTCAGGAGGTGGACCCCTGTGAGGACCTTTCAGACGAGGACATTCGCACGGCCATTCAAAACGCCACAGGAACAAAGAATGCGCTCTTTGTACCGGATGTGAGTACCGAAGTGCACACCTACCGGACGTAAGTTCAGCCCTACCTATCGGTTGTATGCCGACACTTCTTGCGTATCAGATGTGAGTAAGTAATGCCCTGGTTATTTATCCGCTGTAACTGCTTCCCCAAATTCCTTTACGCTTCTCGTTCGGCCCATCCCCTCGGCTTGGCAGGTGCCATTTGAGGTGTTCATGAGGCGGCAGATATCGCGTCTGCTTGACCCCCTCGCTTCAGTGCGCGCGATTCGTTCTTCCTCCCTTCCTTTCCCCCCTTCAACTCTCCCGACTGCCCCTATCTACAGGTGCCCTTTGAGGTGCTGGTGAGGCGGCAGATATCGCGTCTGCTGGACCCCTCGCTTCAGTGCGCGCGATTCGTCTACGACGAGCTAGTCAAAGTGAGCTCATGTGCTCAGTGTGGTCTGCTATGCCTGTTACCTGGACTCCTTGCCTCAATGCGTGTGATCTGTTTACAGCGAGCTTGTTAAGGTGAGTTCCTTCTCCGTTTGTCTCCCTTATATGTTCAGAGTATTCGTGGCTTTCCCCTGTTGGTCCCCCTTCCCCCACCGTGTTCGCCATCTCCCCCCTCCCTTTCCTCCCTGCCCCACCATGTGCATCGCAATCTGTACATCGCTGCGAGCCGTATCAACTAGCCCTATTCCCTGTGCTTCACCCTTCTCCCTCACCCGCCCTGCCCTGCCCCTCCCACGCCACCCTGTGCCCTGTAGATTGCCCCCACTGCTGTGAGTCGTACCAGTTAGCCCGCAAGGTGAAAGAGACAGACAGTGGGGAGCTTTCAACCCACGCAGAGAAGCACCCCCTTCCAATCCTCCTCCCTCATTCCCTCGCCTGCCCTGTGCCTTACTGCAGATCGCCCATCGCTGTGAGTCATACCAGCTGGCCCGCTTCCCTGTGCTGCGGCGCAAGGTGGAGGAGACAGTGGGGAGCTGAACCATGCAGAGAAGCATTTCCCGCCTCCCTATTTCCCTCTTTCTTCCCTTACAACCGTGCTCCTTACAGATCGCTCATCGCTGTGAGTCGTACCAGCTGACCCGCTTCCCTGTGCTAAGGCGCAAGGTGGAGGAGACGGTGGGGAGCTGAACCATGCAGAGGAGCATTTCCCGCCTCCCTTTTTCCCTCTTTCTTCCCTTACAACCGTGCTCCTCACAGATCGCTCATCGCTGTGAGTCGTACCAGCTGACCCGCTTCCCTGTGCTAAGGCGCAAGGTGGAGGAGACAGTGGGGAGCTTTCTGAGGGAGGGGCTTAATCAAAGAAAGAGCCTCCTCTTCTCCACCTTTCTTCCCCAACCACCCTGGCCTTCCCCATCCTGTCCCTCACAGATCGCTCACCGCTGTGAGTCATACCAGCTGGCCCGGTTCCCTGTGCTGCGGCGCAAGGTGGAGGAGACAGTGGGGAGCTTTCTGAGGGAGGGACTCACCCCTGCTGAGACCATGATTCGGCACCTCATTGACATGGAGGTATGGGAGGGATGGGGGAGGTGAGGGATGGTATGGCGTTTTGGGGGGTAACTCTCAAGAATACTTGCACTCAGCTTTCTCAGGGAGGGGCTCACTCCTGCTGAGACAATGATTCGGCACCTCATAGACATGGAGGTATGGGAGGGAAGGGGGATATGGTTATGGGGCATGAGGGTATGTCGCTCGGGTTGACTTAAAGAGGGTCGCACTCCTGCAGAGACCATGATTCGGCACCTCATAGACATGGAGGTATGGGAGGGAAGGGGGATATGGTTATGGGGCATGAGGGTATGTCGCTCGGGTTGACTCAAAGAGGGTCGCACTCCTGCAGAGACCCTGATTCGGCACCTCATAGACATGGAGGTATGGGAGGGAAGGGGGATATGGTTATGGGGCATGAGGGTATGTCGCTCGGGTTGACTTAAAGAGGGTCGCACTCCTGCAGAGACCATGATTCGGCACCTCATTGACATAGAGGTAGGGAGGGGGGAGGGGTGCAGCAGGATATTATAAAGGTTGGATGGAATCAAGGAGGGTTGGCAAGGGGTTGGGCGTGGGGCTTACCCTTGTAGAGAGAACATGAGGCCATGATGCGGCAGTACCTTTACTTGGAGGCTGAGGGGTACTGGAAAGGGGTTTAGGCATGGGGCCGTGAGAGCATGGGGGAGTGGGGTGACAGGGAGGTTTGGGAAATGGCTATTTACTTCTCCTGTACTAATGGACTTTTTCTGCCTTCGTTTTCCTGTACGAAGAACGTCGTTCGTAAAATCCTGCTCGACCGACTGGGGGACCGCACTGCTGCCATCCGCATGTGCACTGCCAAGGCTCTCAGGAGCGTAGGTCCGTTCGGCGGAGTCGACGTGGAGACGGTCATGAAGCTGTTTCGAAAAATACTGAAGAGAGACACGAGGCCTCTTCAGTATTTTTCGAAACAGCTTCATGGTCGTCTCCACGGCGACTCCACCGAACGGACCTACGGTCTTGAGAGCCTTGACAGCGCACACGTGGATGGCAGCAGTGCGGTCCCCTAGTCGGTCGAGCAGGATTTTACGGACCACGTTCTTCGTACAGGAAAACAGAGGCAGAAAAATACATGTATACATCGCATCCAAGCTTCATTGCTAGGGCTTATCTTCACAGGTTTTCCACCTGTTCTTCACTGCCTTATATTCCCCCTGCCTCCTTCCGTCTTATATAACCAGATGGATATCAATAAATCCCACCCCAGCTTCATGGCAAGCAGTAGGGAAGGGAGTATCTTCACCACCTTTCCACCTGTTCTTCCCCCCTTACTTCCCTTCCTTATATTCCCCCTGTCTCCTTCTGTCTTATATAACCAGATGGATTACATCAATACATCCCACCCCAGCTTCATTGGGGGCAGCAGAGCCGTTGAGATTATCCTGCAGCAATTGAGGGTGAGTACACAACTTAGTTGGAGTATACGCTCGAATCTTTTTGCGTTTTGAGTTTATACGCACTAAAAAAACGACCGCAAAAATAGAAGTTGGGTTTGAGCTAGCGACATGGCGAACTGAAAATTAGGGCATCACACATTCGGGATCTCAACTTCGAAATTGAATTTTGAAGCAGATCCACAACAACCCCTTCTGTATACCATTGCGCAACCCACTCCACCCCATTCAATCCCAATTCCTTCCACTCAATGTCGAGTGGAGGAGTTGGATTCAACCAGACTCATCTCTCCTAGCAGAAATGCGGCTCTAATTCTCCATTCGGTGTTCATCATTCGGATTTTTTTACCTCGTTTTTACCTACCTCGTTCGTATCGACGAGTATGACTAGACTGCGGGCACCAACTTCGTGCTTTGCACCTCGCCCATCCCCCCTTCTTAACCTAACAAACTGCCCGGCGAAAATTTTATGTGCCCGAGCCTGCGTTTTCACTGCGTACTGGACCCCTCCCAAGAAGCGTTCGGCGTTTATACGCTAGCGGATTAACGCTAGCGTATGAAACGCGAAACGCGTATACTCCAACTAAGGTAAACAAATACCCTTTAATTATTGGAGCATTTGGAAAGTATGGTCGATGGATCATGGAGGTAGTTCCTTGATTTAGCACTGGCAGCAATAGGTTGAAACTTCAGATTGATCGCCTTGTTTTGAGCATGCAGCTGTGGTGCTGCACTGGCAGCAGACTTTTGAGTCGACTTTTGAGTCGACTCAAACTTCAGATTGTTCGCCTTGTTTTGTGCATGCAGCTGTGGTGCTGCACTGGCAGCAGCAGCAGGAGGGGAGCTTCGTTTAAATTCGTACGGTTAATATCGTCCTGTTTTGTTGTGTGCCGTTTCCTCCCACGCCCCTTCCCCTACCTGCAGGGAAGAACAGTGAGGGCACGAGCAGCAGAGGCGGGTGCTGCACTGACAGCAGCGGCAGCAGGAGGGGAGCTTCGTTTCGATTCACACGAACAAAAATATTGTCCTGTTTCATTGTGTGCTGCATTCCCCCCCCCCCCTCCCGCCACTTCCACCACTCACATCTGCAGGAAGGGAAGGGCAGTGAGGGAGGAGGGCAGGGAGCAGCAGGGGCTGGCGCAGCTGGTGGTGCACTCACAGCAGCGGCAGCAGGAGGGGGGTCCCCGTCAACTGCTGCAGTGGCGTCAGTGGCAGCAGCTGCGAAGCAGAGGGTGATGCTGATGAGGAAGGAGGGCGCGGGGCAGGGGCAGGGAGGCCAAGAGCAGCAGCAACAACAGCAGGTGTGATTCTTTGAATGAATTCTGCCCGATTCAATCTCTTTGAAGCTGTTTCATCTGCCCTGGAGCTGTTTATTTCGGTTCTTGTGGTTTCACAATCCAAACCGATTTACGCCTTTCTGTTTTCCCCTCTCTCTCGTTTTGCTGTTTTCCCCCCTCTCTCTCGTTTTGCACTCAACTGGGCTGCTTGCTTGCTTGCTCCCCCTCCTACTGGCTCCTCTCTCTTCCATGTGTGCAGGGAGGCAAGCAGGCAGCCACTGCAAACGGCACAGTCCCAGATAAGCAAGGTAGGCATCAATGGCTGGCTGGTGCTAGTGTGAGAAGCTATCTATCACCAGGGAAACTTGAAGGCAGTGACATCTGAGTCGGCTCACAAGGGCTTTAAAGAAACTCAACCAGCACTGGCTGGAAGGAATTATCGTGTGAAGCCGTTTTGTGAAAATTCAAAATCTTGTACCGCAGCTTTGTCTGATTTGATTCTCTTTTTTAGGCTCTGCAAATATCTGTGGCAGCATGCACTGGAGCTATCGTTTGAAGCTACAAGGCACTGCAGAAAATCGCTTATATGTGCGACTTTTGAGAATTCTCATAAGTCGCACCAATGAAGCTACAAGGCACTGCAGAAAATCGCTTTGATCCATCTTGGGGGGTCAGGAGAGCAACCACGGAGCTGACCCCACACCCACAGCCCTCACTTTTTTCCCACTGACTTCCTTTCCTGATTCTCTCCCGTGCTCCCTCCCTCTCGGTCGCAGGGTCCTATGGGGCGTCTCATCAATCTTCGGCGGGCAGGAGAGGAACCGAGCAGGAGCCGTCTCGTCTGCCACGGTGCTCACTCCCTTCCCCTTGTCTCGCTTCCCCTTGTATCTCTCGCTCTCTCATCCCTCCCTTCCCTCCTGATCGCATCTCAGGGTCCTTGTGGGGCATCGCGTCCATCTTTGGTGGGCAGGAGAGGAGCCGAGGAGGAGCTGTCCCTTGTGTCACAGCCCTCACTCGCTTCCCCTTGACTCTCTCCCTTGTTCTCACAGGGTCCTCGTGGGGCATCGCGTCCATCTTTGGTGGGCAGGAGAGGAACCGAGGAGGAGCTGTCCCTTGTGTCACAGCCCTCACTCGCTTCCCCTTGACTCTCTCCCTTGTTCTCACAGGGTCCTCGTGGGGCATCTCGTCCATCTTCGGAGGGCAGGAGAGGAACCGAGGAGGAGCTGTCCCTTGTGTCACAGCCCTCACTCGCTTCCCCTTGACTCTCTCCCTTGTTCTCACAGGGTCCTCGTGGGGCATCTCGTCCATCTTCGGAGGGCAGGAGAGGAACCGAGGAGGAGCTGTCCCTTGTGTCACAGCCCTCACTCGCTTCCCCTTGACTCTCTCCCTTGTTCTCACAGGGTCCTCGTGGGGCATCGCGTCCATCTTTGGTGGGCAGGAGAGGAACCGAGGAGGAGCTGTCCCTTGTGTCACAGCCCTCACTCGCTTCCCCTTGACTCTCTCCCTTGTTCTCACAGGGTCCTCGTGGGGCATCTCGTCCATCTTCGGAGGGCAGGAGAGGAACCGAGGAGGAGCTGTCCCTTGTGTCACAGCCCTCACTCGCTTCCCCTTGACTCTCTCCCTTGTTCTCACAGGGTCCTCGTGGGGCATCTCGTCCATCTTCGGAGGGCAGGAGAGGAACCGAGGAGGAGCTGTCCCTTGTGTCACAGCCCTCACTCGCTTCCCCTTGACTCTCTCCCTTGTTCTCACAGGGTCCTCGTGGGGCATCTCGTCCATCTTCGGAGGGCAGGAGAGGAACCGAGGAGGAGCTGTCCCTTGTGTCACAGCCCTCACTCGCTTCCCCTTGACTCTCTCCCTTGTTCTCACAGGGTCCTCGTGGGGCATCTCGTCCATCTTCGGAGGGCAGGAGAGGAACCGAGGAGGAGCTGTCCCTTGTGTCACAGCCCTCACTCGCTTCCCCTTGACTCTCTCCCTTGTTCTCACAGGGTCCTCGTGGGGCATCGCGTCCATCTTTGGTGGGCAGGAGAGGAACCGAGGAGGAGCTGTCCCTTGTGTCACAGCCCTCACTCGCTTCCCCTTGACTCTCTCCCTTGTTCTCACAGGGTCCTCGTGGGGCATCTCGTCCATCTTCGGAGGGCAGGAGAGGAACCGAGGAGGAGCTGTCCCTTGTGTCACAGCCCTCACTCGCTTCCCCTTGACTCTCTCCCTTGTTCTCACAGGGTCCTCGTGGGGCATCTCGTCCATCTTCGGAGGGCAGGAGAGGAACCGAGGAGGAGCTGTCCCTTGTGTCACAGCCCTCACTCGCTTCCCCTTGACTCTCTCCCTTGTTCTCACAGGGTCCTCGTGGGGCATCGCGTCCATCTTCGGAGGGCAGGAGAGGAACCGAGGAGGAGCTGTCCCTTGTGTCACAGCCCTCACTCGCTTCCCCTTGACTCTCTCCCTTGTTCTCACAGGGTCCTCGTGGGGCATCTCGTCCATCTTCGGAGGGCAGGAGAGGAACCGAGGAGGAGCTGTCCCTTGTGTCACAGCCCTCACTCGCTTCCCCTTGACTCTCTCCCTTGTTCTCACAGGGTCCTCGTGGGGCATCTCGTCCATCTTCGGAGGGCAGGAGAGGAACCGAGGAGGAGCTGTCCCTTGTGTCACAGCCCTCACTCGCTTCCCCTTGACTCTCTCCCTTGTTCTCACAGGGTCCTCGTGGGGCATCTCGTCCATCTTCGGAGGGCAGGAGAGGAACCGAGGAGCAGCCGTCTCGTCTGCCACAGCACTGTCTGGGGCCAACACGCTCACTCTCGTGCTTCATCCTCCCCTTCTCCCCTCGCATCTCAGGGTCCTCGTGGGGCATCGCGTCCATCTTTGGTGGGCAGGAGAGGAACCGAGGAGGAGCTGTCCCTTGTGTCACAGCCCTCACTCGCTTCCCCTTGACTCTCTCCCTTGTTCTCACAGGGTCCTCGTGGGGCATCTCGTCCATCTTCGGAGGGCAGGAGAGGAACCGAGGAGGAGCTGTCCCTTGTGTCACAGCCCTCACTCGCTTCCCCTTGACTCTCTCCCTTGTTCTCACAGGGTCCTCGTGGGGCATCTCGTCCATCTTCGGAGGGCAGGAGAGGAACCGAGGAGGAGCTGTCCCTTGTGTCACAGCCCTCACTCGCTTCCCCTTGACTCTCTCCCTTGTTCTCACAGGGTCCTCGTGGGGCATCTCGTCCATCTTCGGAGGGCAGGAGAGGAACCGAGGAGGAGCTGTCCCTTGTGTCACAGCCCTCATTCGCTTCCCCTTGACTCTCTCCCTTGTTCTCACAGGGTCCTCGTGGGGCATCTCGTCCATCTTCGGAGGGCAGGAGAGGAACCGAGGAGGAGCTGTCCCTTGTGTCACAGCCCTCACTCGCTTCCCCTTGACTCTCTCCCTTGTTCTCACAGGGTCCTCGTGGGGCATCGCGTCCATCTTTGGTGGGCAGGAGAGGAACCGAGGAGGAGCTGTCCCTTGTGTCACAGCCCTCACTCGCTTCCCCTTGACTCTCTCCCTTGTTCTCACAGGGTCCTCGTGGGGCATCGCGTCCATCTTTGGTGGGCAGGAGAGGAACCGAGGAGGAGCTGTCCCTTGTGTCACAGCCCTCACTCGCTTCCCCTTGACTCTCTCCCTTGTTCTCACAGGGTCCTCGTGGGGCATCTCGTCCATCTTCGGAGGGCAGGAGAGGAACCGAGGAGGAGCTGTCCCTTGTGTCACAGCCCTCACTCGCTTCCCCTTGACTCTCTCCCTTGTTCTCACAGGGTCCTCGTGGGGCATCGCGTCCATCTTTGGTGGGCAGGAGAGGAGCCGAGGAGGAGCTGTCCCTTGTGTCACAGCCCTCACTCTCTTCCCCTTGACTCTCTCCCTTGTTCTCACAGGGTCCTCGTGGGGCATCTCGTCCATCTTCGGAGGGCAGGAGAGGAACCGAGGAGGAGCTGTCCCTTGTGTCACAGCCCTCACTCGCTTCCCCTTGACTCTCTCCCTTGTTCTCACAGGGTCCTCGTGGGGCATCTCGTCCATCTTCGGAGGGCAGGAGAGGAACCAAGGAGGAGCTGTCCCTTGTGTCACAGCCCTCACTCGCTTCCCCTTGACTCTCTCCCTTGTTCTCACAGGGTCCTCGTGGGGCATCTCGTCCATCTTCGGAGGGCAGGAGAGGAACCGAGGAGGAGCTGTCCCTTGTGTCACAGCCCTCACTCGCTTCCCCTTGACTCTCTCCCTTGTTCTCACAGGGTCCTCGTGGGGCATCTCGTCCATCTTCGGAGGGCAGGAGAGGAACCGAGGAGGAGCTGTCCCTTGTGTCACAGCCCTCACTCGCTTCCCCTTGACTCTCTCCCTTGTTCTCACAGGGTCCTCGTGGGGCATTTCGTCCATCTTTGGTGGGCAGGAGAGGAACCGAGGAGGAGCTGTCCCTTGTGTCACAGCCCTCACTCGCTCCCCCTTGACTCTCTCCCTTGTTCTCACAGGGTCCTCGTGGGGCATCGCGTCCATCTTTGGTGGGCAGGAGAGGAACCGAGGAGGAGCTGTCCCTTGTGTCACAGCCCTCACTCGCTTCCCCTTGACTCTCTCCCTTGTTCTCACAGGGTCCTCGTGGGGCATCTCGTCCGTCTTCGGAGGGCAGGAGAGGAACCGAGGAGCAGCCGTCTCGTCTGCCACAGCACTGTCTGGGGCCAACAAGCTCACTCTCGTGCTTCATCCTCCCCTCCCTCCCCTCGCATCTCAGGGTCCTCGTGGGGTATCTCGTCCATCTTCGGTGGGCAGGAGAGGAACCGAGGAGGAAATGTCTCGTCTGCCACAGCGCTCACGCCCTTCCCACTCGCTTCGCCTGAACCCATGTCTGCCCCTGGTGGTTCTGCGCCCAACGAGCCTGCATCCACAATCCTTCTCAGAGAGGTATACATATGTCTTCTATCATTTTTACCCCTGCCCCTCTTTGTATACGCTTTCTGTTTCTGTACCTCTTTCCTGGTTGGTTGGACTGTGAGGCACCCTCAGGTTGAGAGCGGTGGAAGTGGGTTGGGGAAGGTTGAAGTAGGACTTGGGTGGTACGGAGCGGTATTACTCGCTGGGTTTCAGAAGGTCCTGTTTCGTTCTCTCTTTCAAATCATTTAGGTTTTCTTCTGTCTTGTTTCCAAGGGTAGCGGAGCTAGTTCTCAGCCTTACAGGTAGCTCTGTGCCTGTTTGTGGGCAGAGCGGAGGTGTGCGGGAAGGGAGGAGGGGCAGGAGTGGGGCACGCAGCAGCAGAGGCATTCTGGGAAGGAGAAGCAAGGCTGCTGCAGCAGCGTCAACATCCCGTAGCCTGGCCACTGCTGCCATGCCCCCTGCTGGGTCAGCACAGATGGTTGCCGCTGGGCCTGTTGTGTCTGTGAGAGGAACTGTGTTGCAACAGGGGCAGCAGCAGCAGCAGGAGGGGCAGATAGAGCTAATAGGACAGCCGCCGCAGCAGCAGCAGCCGCTGCGGGTGGTGATACAGCAGCAGCAGGTGAAGGAGCAGCAGCAGCGGCAGCAGCGGCGGTGGTGGCGGCGGCAGCGGCAGGGGTGGGTGGGGATGGCGTTGATGGGGGCGAGGCTTGTGCTGCATTCCATGGCTGCAGGGGGAGAGGCGCACTTACACACCCCTTTAGACCCTGACGTGCGAGGCATGGTGCATGCCATGTCTCTGCCTCAGAACGACATGCCTGAAGGCTTGCGTGTGGGGAATAGGGATGTGTCTGGAGGGGTTAAGAGGGGTGCAGATGGTGCTGTGCTGCGTGGAGGTGTGCAGCAGGCTTTGCCGTCAGGAGAGGGTAGGAGTGAAGGGAGGGCGGGTGGGGAGCAGGCACAGCAGCAGCATACTCAGTTGCGAGGGGATTATGAACAGCAGGAGCAGCAACAGCAGGAGAAGCAGCAGAAGCATGAGCAGGTGGAGGGGAGAGTAGGAGACGAGTCAGCAGGCGCTTCTGGTCCTGATGTTGTTTTTCAAGTGCTGGAACCAGTAGCGCAGGGGGGGCAACAGCAGCAGCAGCAGGAGCGAGAAAGTGGGTTGAACAGAGAAACGGAGACGAGCACGGACGTGGCACGTGATGACCCTTTCGCTAGTGCTGCTGATATTGATGATGTGCGTAGGGAAGCAGGTGGAAATGCGGCTGAGGGGGGCGAAAGGAACATGGTGGTTGATGATGGTGTTGCAACAGAGGCAGGGACGAGGCTGGAGGGTGGGAGTGGCGAGAGAGGCTGTGAGGCACAGCCAATGGGGAGGTGTGTTGAGGACGCGAAACTGGAGGAAACACCGGCTGCTTCTGGCAGGTTGAATGATTCCACACACTCTATAGACTCCATGCCTAGTCATAGAACTGAGGACCTGTTTCAACACCAACACCAGCAGCAGCAGCATCAGCATCCTAAGCAGCAGGAGCAGCAACAAGAAGAGGCACAGGCCAATCCGTGGCTAGCAGATGGGGATTCTGTAGGGAGCAGGAAAAACGACAACATGGAGTGGCAGAGGCAGAGCAGCAGCGGACCAAGACGCAGGAGCATCTGGCAGGAGGAAGGTCACAGTTACAGCTACAGCTACAGTAGCCGCTTAGGGTTACCCTATGCAGCGTCAGCATCAGTGTCATCACCAAGGCTCTCCCGATCGCCAGGGGCAGCAGCTAAGGACGAGTGGGAGTGGCTGCAGCAGCAGTCGCAGCTAGCCGTCTCCCTGCCCCCTGTAGGGTCCTACCCCGGTGCCTCTGGGCTGAAGGGTGGGCGAGGATGGGAACAGAAAACAGTGGTTTTGGTCTGGAATGTTTTGGTCTTTCCTTTTCTGTCCTGTGTTGTGTCATCTGGTCCTCTCTCATTTTCTTCTCCGGGTTTGAGCTCTTATATCCCTCCTAGCCTCCTTAACTTTATCTTCTCCGGGTTTGAGCTCTTAACTCCGAGTGCTCCTGTTAATGCCCCTTATTTTGCGTTTCCCGCCTGGGCGCCTTATCCCTCCTTCTTCTCCAGTCTCCATTGCTGACTTTCCTCCCCCTCGCTTCTGTCGCCGCTGCGGTGAAAGCAAGCGAGCAGCAGTGAGCAGAGGAGGGTGCGAAGATAGGGGTGACATGCTTTTCTGCTCTCTTTCACTTCCTTTATCTTTTGGTTCCTCCCTCCTTTTCAAACCCCATCTTCCCTCCCTTCTCCTCTCCCTCCCCCCCCTCCACCCTCCCCCTTGTGTTCCCCACTTTCTCAGCTGCCCTCTGTCCTGCAAGCGAGCGAGCAGCGATCAGCAGAGGAGAGGTTGGAGATTGGAGTGGATGTGTGTGCTTTTTCTTCATCATTTGTTCTCTCTTTCCTTTCCGGCCCCTTCCCCCCTTCCTCTGCTCTTCTCTCATCACCCTACTGTGTCCCCCCCTCTCAGCCGCCCTCCATCCTGAGAGCAAGCGAGCAGCGATCAGCAGAGGAGGGCGTGGAGATTGGGGTAACCCGCTTACTCCTGAAGTCATACTACGACATTGTGAGGAAGAACATTCAAGATGCCGTTCCCAAAGCGATCATGCACTTCCTGGTGAGTGTGGTTGGTTGGGGCTGGGGCCCTGGGAGTGTGGTAGGGTGCTTCTTGCTGGGAGGAGGGCGTAGAGATCGGGTAACCCGCCTGCTCCTAAAGTCATATTACGACATTGTGAGGAAGAACATTCAAGACGCCGTTCCCAAAGCGATCATGCACTTCCTGGTGAGTCGTATTGTGCAGTGGGTGGATGGGTGGGAAGGTTAGGGGTTGATGTGTTAGGGTGTGCTGTTCGCTTTCGTCTTTGCTGAAAGAGTTGTGATTTACATGCAAGGTAGTGAGAGTGGGGGCACAAGTTCCAGGAGCTCCCATGCACGCCTTTGTGGTTGCACCTGACATTTTTTTTTTTTTTTAAGTGCACGACACGTTTAATAACTCCTACCAGCCTTCTAGTCGTAAAAATCACCACCTCTCTCACTCCGTGTCCTTACCCGCTTCTTGCATTGCTCTTATGTTTTTCGGTTTTCCAGGTTAACCATGTGAAGAGGGAGCTTCACAGCGTGTTTATTCAACAACTGTACAGGTAGGTCGAATTATTGATGTGGTGCAGGTATAATTATCTTTGCAATGGATCTACACTCGGAACAATGCCAAACTCACTTGTGTTTTGACACTGTGTTTCTCGATTACAGGGAGGCACTGTTTGAGGAGATGCTGCAGGAGCGGGAGGACATTGCGTCAAAGAGGCAGCGGTGCAAAGACATTTATGCAGTGTTGCAGCAGGCTGCATGGGTGAGTGGCGTGTCATGGCGTGCATGTTACCCTGCCACTTACCCCCTGCCACAGACCTAACCACCTCCTCCTTCTCCACTTCTTCTAATCTGTTAATGCTGGTCATGTTTTTCACTCATCTCCTTTTCTCCTCCCACTTGCCTAACCCTATTTTCTGCCTCGCGCTCCATACCCTTTCACTTCCCCATCCTCTTCTCCTCCCCCTCCCCCTTCCCCTTCCCCCTTCCCCTTCCCCTTCCCCTTTCCCTTTTCTTCCCTCCTCCCCCTTCTCCTCCCCTTCCCCTCCCCCTTCCCCTCCCCTTCCCCTCCCCCTTCCCCTCCCCTTCCCCTCCCCCTTCCTCCTCCCCTTCTCCTCCCCATTCCCCTTCCGGTTCCCCTCCCCCTCCCTTTCCCCCAACAGACGCTAGATGAGCTCCCGTTAGACCCAGACGCCCCATCTCGACCTGCCTCCTCTGCTCTCGACGCCACCGGTCTCCCACCTTCCTCCGGCCTCCTCCCACCTTCTCCTGGCTACCCCTCCCCCGCCCCCTCGTTGCCCTACCGCCCTGCACTCGCCTCTGCTGCTGCTGCTGGTGGTGGTGGTACTTCGTATGGCTACGGGCATGGACGGGGATCGAGCAGCAGAGAAGGGGGGATGGGGCCCATCCCTTATGGCACGCCAAGCAGTCAGGTGTGCTTTCCCTTTACCCCCAAAAATATAAAATGAAACAAGTTGTGCTGGTTCCACACATCTATCTGCAATCAATGATATCTGTTTCATGCTGTCGCATGATCGCAACCAACCGTCCCAGAGGGAAGGATGACAACAAATAAATTACTCACTCTAATCACCCTCTGCCCACTCTCCCTTCCCCCCTCCCATCCCCTTTCACTCACTCACCCCGCTCTCACCACTCCCTGCTTCCCATTCCCACGCACAACACTCACTGCCATTCCACCAGCAGCCGTCCAGGCCTGATGGGCCGCGCAGCATCGTCCATGCATGATCATCAGTACATGGTGATGCATACGTGACTATCAACAGATGGCGATGCAGACATGATGATTACCATCTGGCATTGCTTACATGGCCATCCCTTCATTATCATCCGCACATGGCGATGTGCTCATGACAATCTGCTCCACGTGGCGATGCGTGCATGCCCATCAGCGCACGAGCAGTCTCACATGACTTCTGTCATCAACGGTGTACATGTTTCACCATTTTCACACAATCGTGCCATCCACAATCATTTCGCACCGTCAAGCGCCTTCCTTCTGTCAAGCTCAGGCCCATGGTTTATGCTACAGTACCAAGGCAGCCCTCCCGTTCACAACCATTGAATTTGAAGGCCGCGTGTAATTTGTTATGGTGGTTACCACTTCGCACTGAAACTTCCTGGGAATCTAACCAATAAATGCTGTAACATACCGTACAATGTGGTTAAGCATCAGATTCTCCGGCATATATTCCAATAGACAGCTCTAGCAGTATTCGCATTCAGGTTCCTACATCTCAATTACCGCAATCATGCCTTTTGGATTCACGACATTCTAACAAATTCAAGTCGTTGCCCACTCAGAAAGCTACGTATGTCTAACAGGAACGGGTAAAGCAAGGGATCAGCTAAGAGACGGGGTGGCCAATAGACAGACAGTTATCCAACATGAAGCATGGCTATCTAAAGCAACTAAACTTATATACTAAGCACTATGTTGCTGCTAGGTCAGGATCTAACAAAGGTTAGGCCATGCATGTCCCGGAGGCCACAGCGCAGTGCACGGGACATGCCATCAAGCGCTTGCTTGCACCATCTGACATTCAACTCTTGCAGCACCTTCAGCTCCGTCAAATCCTCTGGCAACGCCTTCAATCGGTCACAGCCAAATAGATTCAGTGTCCTCAGCCTGGTCAGCAGTGCAAACCTGGGAGGAAGGGAGATGATGGATGTTTTGTTAAGTCTAAGCACGCAGAGGCAGCGGAGCTGTGTGAGCGAAGATGGTAACTTCTGTAGGACGTTACAATCTGATAGATCCAGCTCACGCAGCCTGGATAATCGACCGATGCCATCCGGGATCGAGGTAAGCTTGGGTGCAAGGACCTTCA